GGTTAACACTGGCTGAAAGGAGGTAAAGGAGGGGAAACGAAATGAACATGCAAGAAAATGAAATGAATTTAAAGAAACATGACGAAACATGAACAGAACCAAAAGAATATTACAGGGAATTGCATGGAAGCACACACACACAGACAAACGGAAAGTGAAAGGAACAATGAAAGGAATGAAAACAAAACGGAAGGGAAAAAACAATGCAAGTAAAACGACAGCGAACAAAAGAAACGTGAAAAGGACATGAACGCGAGTTATTTGCATGGGAAATGGAACGATGTGTTCAGAGTCGGAAGGTCTGATAACGTATGATGACCATACTAGGGTCATGTCGCCCAAACCTTTTTGTCACTTTATCATGAAGATTGTCACTGGAAATGAGAAAAGGCTGACCAGAGTTAGAATGTGCCCCATATTGCCCCATACATTCAAATATTGAACTCGTGGCCAAACCATACAATTTTATGTCTTGGAGCCTTTAGTGAGGGATTTTGCATGCTAGCGCTGGTTGCTGATTGCTGCATTTTATGCTGGGTTCCTGCAGGATGTGGCTAACAAATCAGGTGAAAACGTTGTTTCTATAGACATGTTCGTTGCTAATGGTTTTGCGACATGTTTTCTTGTTTTTAGATGTTTGCAAGGAGCATGAGAGAACACTTCTCCCGCAAAGAAAATGAATGGGAAATCAAAGGAACATGGGCAAAATCTCACAGAAGATGATTTCAAATGTAAGCACATGACACGCTAGAAGGGAAAGTGAAAGGAAGAAAGAAAGGACAAGGAAAGGAGACGAAAGGAAATGTCAGGAACATGATGGGCCTTGAAAAGAAAGCGAACAGAAAATGAAAGGAATCGAAACAAGAACCTTCTATATAGGTTTGAATGCTTGGTGACTAAACTAGGGTCATGTCCCTAAAACCGCCTTACAATGGAGATTGCCAATGGAAATGACAAAAGGCTGAGCAGAGTTAGAATGTGCCCAATACATCCAAATATTGAACTCGTGGCTGAACCATGCAAATGTATGTGTGGGAGCCTTTAGTGAGGGGTTTGCAGGCTAACACTGGCTGAAGGGAGGTAAAGGAGGTAAAGGAGGGGAAATGAAAGGAACATGCAAGAAAATGAAATGAATTGAAAGAAACATGATGAAACATGAACAGAACCAAAAGAATATTACAGGGAATTGCATGGAAACACACACACAGACAAACGGAAAGTGAAAGGAACAATGAAAGGAATGAAAACAAAACGGAAGGGAAAAACCAATGCAAGTAAAATGACAGCGAACGAAAGAAACGTGAAAAGGACATGAACGCGAGTTATTTGCATGGGAAATGGAACGACATGTTCAGAGTCGGAAGGTCTGATAACGTATGATGACCATACTAGGGTCATGTCGCCCAGACCTTTGTGTCACTTTGTCATGAAAATTGTCACTGGAAATGAGAAAAGGGTGACCAGAGTTAGAATGTGCCCCATATTGCCCCATACATTCAAATATTGAACTCGTGGCCAAACCATACAAATTTATGTCTTGGAGCCTTTAGTGAGGGATTTTGCATGCTAGCGCTGGTTGCTGATTGCTGCATTTTCTGCTGGGTTCCTGCAGGATGTGGGAACAAATCAGGTGAAAAACGGTGTTTCTATAGACATGTTCGTTGCTAATGTGTTTGCGACATGTTTTCTTGTTTTTAGATGTTTGCAAGGAGCATGAGAGAACACTTCTCACGCAAAGAAAATGATTGGGAAATCAAAGGAACATGGGCAAAATCTCACAGAAGATGATTTCAAATGTAAGCACATGACACGCTAGAAGGGAAAGTGAAAGGAAGAAAGAAAGGACAAGGAAAGGAGACGAAAGGAAATGTCAGGAACATGATGGGCCTTGAAAAGAAAGCAAACAGAAAATGAAAGGAATCGAAACAAGAACCTTCTATATAGGTTTGAATGCTTGGTGACTAAACTAGGGTCATGTCCCTAAAACCGCCTTACAATGGAGATTGTTACTGGAAATGACAAAAAGCTGAGCAGAGTTAGAATGTGCCCAATACATCCGATATTGAACTCGTGGCCGAACCATGCAAATGTATGTGTGGGAGCCTTTAGTGAGGGGTTTGCAGGCTAACACTGGCTGAAAGGAGGTACATAAAGGAGGTAAAGGAGGGGAAATGAAAGGAACATGCAAGAAAATGAAATGACTTGAAAGAAACATGATGAAACATGAACAGAACCAAAAGAATATTACAGGGAATTGCATGGAAACACACACACAGACAAACAGAAAGTGAAAGGAACAATGACAGGAATGAAAACAAAACGGAACGGAAAAAGCAATGCAAGTAAAATGACAGCGAACAGAAGAAACGTGAAAAGGACATGAACGCGAGTTATTTGCATGGGAAATGGAACGACATGTTCAGAGTTGGAAGGTCTGATAACGTATGATGACCATACTACGGTCATGTCGCCCAGACCTTTTTGTCACTTTATCCTGAAGATTGTCACTGGAAATGAGAAAAGCGTGACCAGAGTTAGAATAATGTGCCCAAACATCCAAATATTGAACTCGTGGCCGAAACATGCAAATTTATGTGTGGGAGCCTTGAGTGAAGGGCTTGCAGGCTAACACTGGCTGAAAGGAGGTAAAAGAGAAGATGAAAAGAACATGCAAGAAAATGAAATGACTTGCAAGAAACATGATGAAACATGAACAGAACCAAAAGAATATTACAGGGAATTGCATGGAAACACACACAGACAAACGGAAAGTGAACGGAACAATGAAAGGGATGAAAGCAAAACGGAAGGGAAAAACAATGCAAGTAAAATGTCAGTCAACAAAAGAAACGTGAAAAGGACATGAACGCGAGTTATTGCATGGGAAATGGAACGACATGTTCAGAGTTGGAAGGCCTGATGCCGTATGATGACCATACTAGGGTCATGTCGCCCAGACCTTTTTGTCACTTTATCATGAAAATTGTTACTGGAAATGAGAAAAGGGTGACCAGAGTTAGAATAATGTGCCCACACATCCAAATATTGAACTCATGGCCGAAACATGCAAATTTATGTGTGGGAGCCTTTACTGCAGGGTTTGCAGGCTAACACTGGCTGAAAGGAGGTAAAGGAGGTAAACGAGAAAATGAAAGGAACATGCAAGAAAATGAAATGAATTGAAAGAAAGAAAGAAACATGAACAGAATCAAAAGAATATTGCAGGGAATTGCATGGAAACACACACAGACATACTGAAAGTGAAAGGAACAATGAAAGGAATGAAAGCAAAAACATGATATATTTGATTTATTTTGATTGAAAATTATAGATATATACGATGACCATGGCTGGGGGGGAGGGAGGTTGGAACGCTGGACCATATATATATATACATAGTATTTTTGATATATTATAGTTTTAGATCAAAAACATGTGTGTATATACTGACGGACAGCGAGTTAGAGTTAATAGATTCGCATGGAGGGTCTCGGGTTGTGGTTTACTGTTATTTATGCAATGACATCAAAGATGAAGTCTGAGAGTTAGAATGTGATTTGCACATTGGGCACCAAAGTTAGAATGACCCCTGGTAGCCGCATTCTAACACGAGATTTTGCCGCATTCTAACTTTGGTTGCTTTCAAAATTTTGGTAACATCACCCCGCATTCTACCTCTCAGTCCGTCAGTATAATGTATGTAATGTAATGTATGTATGTAACGTATGTACGTATGTACGTATGTACGTATGTACGTATGTATGTATGTATGTATGCATGTATTTTTGTCATGTATGTATGTATTGTGTGTAATATATGTATGTATTGTTTGCTCTGTATGTATTGTATGTACTGTATGTATGCATGTAATGTATGTATTGTATGCATTGCATGCATGTATCGTTCGTATGTATTGTTTGTATTGTTTGTAATGTTTTGTATTGTCTGTAATGTTTTGTAGTGTATGTTAATGTGTGTTACTGTATGTTAATGTATGTTAATGTATCTTAATGTGTGTTAATGTATGTTAATGTATGTTAATGTATGTTAATGTGTTTCTGTTTTAATGTATCTTAATGTGTTTTAATGTATGTCAATGTATGTTAATGTTTGTCAATGTGTGTTAATTTGTGTCAATGTGTGTTAATGTAATGTAAACATATGCAATCAAATGTAATCAATGTATTGTAAGTATGTATTGTAAGTATGTATGCATGCATGTATGTATGTATGTATGTATTTATGTATATATGTATGTATGTGTGTATGTATGTATTTAATGTATGTAATGTATGTAATGTATGTAATGTATGTAATGTAATGTAATGTAATGTAATGTAATGTATGTAATGTATGTAATGTATGTAATGTATGTAATGTATGTAATGTATGTAATGTATGTAATGTATGTAATGTATGTTATGTATGTTATGTATGTTATGTATGTTATGTATGTTATGTATGTATGTATGTATGTATGCATGCATGTATGTATGTAATGTATGTATGTATGTATGTATGTATGTATGTATGTATGAATGTATGTATGTATGTATGTATGTAATGTTAATGTATGTATGTATGTATGTATGTATGTTTGTTAATGTTTGTTAATGTTTGTTAATGTTTGTTAATGTTTGTTAATGTTTGTTAATGTTTGTTAATGTTTGTTAATGTTTGTTAATGTTTGTTAATGTTTGTTAATGTATGTTAATGTATGTTAATGTATGTTAATGTATGTTAATGTTTGTTAACGTTTGTTAATGTATGTTAATGTATGTTAATGTAATGTCACGTAGAGTAATGTTAATGTAATGTAATGCAATGTAATGTTATGTTATGCTTTGTTATGCTTGTATGTATGTAATATATGTATGTTATTTATTTTGAATGAATGTATGCATGCATGTATGTATGTATGTATTTGTGTGCGTTTTTGATCCTGTTTATCCATTGTTGTCCAGGGGCCACATTTTGCAGTCACCCAGCCAACTGCGCAGGAGCTGACGTGGGGGTCACTGTGACTTCTGGCCAGGTCACTAGTGAAAGCCACACTGAGTGAGTAGCCCATTTGTTAGGTCACACTGGAATGCTGCCGAAGGGATCAAAAAACCAAGTTGAGAACCATCCTTAGGGTAAAATCCAGATATATGATGATTCATGACATGAATACAAGGTGACAAATGAATGGAGTCACAGTGATTTTCTTGTCCTGTTGTTCTAACTCGTATTGAGGAGCACATGGGGTGCCGGCATCCCTGAGTACTCTCGAAACATTAAGGACACCGGAGCAACATGGAGCAACACTTGATTAAGATACCTGTTGATACCTGTTGGGTTGTGTGCAACATATTTAGCTGTTGGACTATGTTGGACCGTTGAAGCAAACTCACCTCACGACATAGAGCCGCATTGTCGCATCGCGTTTCTGCGACTGCGTTAAGCAAGTGAAAGCATGGCCACATCGAAAAAGAACAACTGCTTTGCAAGTGCTGCTTGCTTATTCTGTCATTCTTGTTTCTTTGGGGTGGTGTAAGCAAGTGAGCCCTGTAAGTCTTGTGAGCTTGGAGGGCTTGGCAAAGCTGCCATGGCAATCTGCATTTTGTTGCTTTCATGTGAATGATACCGCTACTCGTATGTTGCAAACACAACAAGGTGCCCCATCAAACCGGGGTTAGATATGGGCGCACGGCAAGCTGTCAACATATCATGCAAGACAGGAGTGACCCTTGGCTCGTGTGATGTTCGATCGAATTATATAATTTGCACTAAGTCAAGAGTACCAATTGTGAGATGGTGAGAGAAAAACAAGCTTGTACAAAGGAGCAGAGCAAGCATGAGCAAGCTAAAAGGGAGAATAGTTCTCCTTAAAAGGCCGTGCTTGGAGCGCATGTTGTAGCATGAAGCTCAGATAGGTATGCATGCAATTGCATGACAAGGACTAGGTCAGATTAGGTCAGGCGACTATGTTGCGCATACGCCTAGGTATGGCCCGATCACGCTCAAGGCGATGGAACGTGAAATCAGAATGAATCAGACCTGGTGTTTGGCTAAAACGGTCTAATGTCAATACAAGCCTTTGGTGTGGATGTTAACTTGCACTCTTTGGTGACAATTTGGTGTCTTGAACGCGTTGGCTCTGCTGGATGTGATGTCTATGTTGTGGAGTGTTGTCGGTTACGTTCAAGGGAAGAAAAGAGGAAAAAAAGGAAGAGAGAAGCTCGGCGCGATTGGAGATACAATTTGTGAGGGAGATTGAATAATGTTTTGCTTTCCCAAGGGCCTGACAGCACTAAAAGTGGAGACATTAAGCTTTGAAAGAAGATATAGAGGGGTTTCACTGCCATGATGGGGAAAAAAAGGAAACTTGCGCGACAGCACATACAGGGGGCACGACTTTGAAACCTACATCCTGCATCCCTCTGTCTCACTACCTTGTGCAGCATTAAGATTTTTCGGCCAGGGGGCGGTGCCAGAAGCTTCAGCCGGCGTGGTAACGGATAGAGCAGTCCAAGGTGACTTGATCCAGAGGAAGACCAAAAAAGATCGTATGTACAAATACAGCAAGCACAGCGCTGACTTGAAAGCTGCTGAAGCTGCTTTCTCTGAGATGTGTTTGGGTTTGACAATAGCGTTTGGGCTGCAGACAGGTGCAACTCGAAACTTGTTGGGCACATACTTCTTGGAATGCATCAGGCTATATTTGGGTACTGTACGTTTTAAACGACCGAAAAGCAGGACAGACAGCAGCCTGAGATACCTGAGCAACGTCAACACATTGAGTCGTGATCTTTTTCAAAGAATTTGTCATCGCCCAACGGGTGATGTGCGGACAGAAGAAAGAGGACGACTATCGCATGACAACAATTCTGGCACCCACAGAGAAAGCAAAGAAGCAAGGCGGTTCTAGTCTCCGAGCCCCCGACTTTCTTGGCTGCGAAATGTAACACCAGTTTCCTTGGACTTGGCTCTGCAAACTCTTGGTGGCAGTAATCTCCGCGTCTCTGCTTTCTATTTCTTTGGCTTTTCAGATTGCTTGTCGGTTTCTCTGCTTCTCTACTTTTTGTTTCTTTGCTTTTGTTCCCCACATCTTTGTGTGGGGTTCTTGTTTTTGATTCTGTATCCCGGGCTTCTCCTCCGCCTCCGCCTCCTCCTCCACACACACACATACACACACACACCAACACACCAACACACACACACATACACACACACATACATACACACACACACCTCCCGCCTCCTCCTCCACACACACACACACATACACACACACACCAACACACACACATACACACACACATACACACACACCAACACACACACACATACACACACACACCAACCAACACACATAAAGCACACCCCACACACCACCATACCACACACATACTACACACGACCCCAACACACCCACACACCGACACACCACATACACCCACACAAACCCACACCCACACCACACCAACACCACACACATACACAACACCCTACACCCAACACCACACAAATCGGTTCACCATCTTGTTAAATCGAGAATACTCGTGGTACACACACACACCAACACACCCACCCACACTTTTGCGTGGCAGGCGTGGGACACATGGCACTGGGTGGCGCGCTTGGACTTGGTTTAGGCGCGCGTGACGCCCGTGACGCCGCGCCACTTCTGCGTGGCAGGCGTGGCACTTGGTGACATCCCCCTTCGTTTCACGTGGCAGGCGTGGCACAACCTCACATCTACCGTCGTTTTGCGTGGCAGGCGTGGTACACATGGCATGGTGGCGCGCTTGGATTTGGTTTAGGCGCGCGTGACGCCCGTGACGCCGCGCCACTTCTGCGTGGCAGGCGTGGCACTTGGTGACATCCACCTTCGTTTCACGTGGCAGACGTGGCACAACCTCACATCTACCGTCGTTTTGCGTGGCAGGCGTGGTACACATGGCACTGGGTGGCGCGCTTGGACTTGGTTTAGGCGCGCGTGACGCCCGTGACGCCGCGCCACTTCTGCGTGGCAGGCGTGGCACAAACACACATCCACCTTCGTTTCACGTGGCAGGCGTGGCACAACCTCACATCTACCGTCGTTTTGCGTGGCAGGCGTGGCACTTATGGCACTGGGTGGCGCGCTTGGACTGGGTTTAGGCGCGCGTGACGCCCGTGACGCCGCGCCACTTCTGCGTGGCAGGCGTGGCACAAACTCATATCCACCGTCCTTTCATGTGGCAGGCGTGGCACAACCTCACATCTACCGTCGTTTTGCGTGGCAGGCGTGGCACTTATGGCACTGGGTGGCGCGCTTGGACTTGGTTTAGGCGCGCGAGACGCCCGTGACGCCGCGCCACTTCTGCGTGGCAGGCGTGGCACTTGGTGACATCCACCTTCGTTTCACGTGGCAGGCGTGGCACAACCTCACATCTAACCTCACATCTACCGTCGTTTTGCGTGGCACGCGTGGCACTTATGGCACTGGGTGGCGCGCTTGGACTTGGTTTAGGCGCGCGTGACGCCCGTGACGCCGCGCCACTTCTGCGTGGCAGGCGTGGCACTTGGTGACATCCACCTTCGTTTCACGTGGCAGGCGTGGCACAACCTCACATCTACCGTCGTTTTGCGTGGCAGGCGTGGTACACATGGCACTGGGTGGCGCGCTTGGACTTGGTTTAGGCGCGCGTGACGCCCGTGACGCCAGGAGTTTGCGCAACTGCGGGAAGGAGTGCTACAGGTCTTGCCAGGATTTGGATCACAGCGAAAAGGTGACAATTCGTGCAACAGACTGCATTGTATCGTTTCTGCGCATGTTGCTTTGATAGCTAGCTGCATATACACGTTCTGTCCTTTTGCGACCAGGTACTTTTCCGCTCTGTTGCAGTCGATGCCAACAACTGCAGGCTGCGCTGTGGATCTCTACCAAAGAACTATATATTTTACTTTGTGGTTTCGTCTTGAACCTTTTTCTGTGCTGCCAGGTGTTGCTTGTCAATGGTGAAGTAATGCGCAGGCCGGGAGCTGCACTTGCGGCGTAGTGTGGACCATCTATACGGTTGATCAATAAGATATCTACTGTGGTTAAGCTATGTAGAATAGATTGGTTCTTGGGGTTCATGCTGTGCCGAGCTATTGCAGCTGTCATGTAGTAACAAGATAGCACGCATGAAGCCTCTGTGTCTTTGCAACTGCCGCAGGTGCCCTTCCAGTGAGCTTCTTGGACGGAGGACAGGCGCGTGTCTCACGGCCCGACAATGAGTCAAGCAATCTATGACGTCGGGAGCCAGAGCTTTGACCCAATGTGGGAAGAAGCGTATGCAGATGCGTGGCGAACCGACACTTATGTGGAAAAAATCGCGACGCCTGTGTGTTTCTGAACTGTGCGGTTGCTTGACATCTTTGGAAAAACCTGCACAGTTAGTGTCATGGTGTTTGCCTGTGACTGTGACTGTGTCGTGTCTTCCATAGTTGCATTGACAACCAGCTACATTCGTGTTCAACACTTCTGCGGCCAGGTACCTTTCCTCTATGTCATCATCGTCGGATGCATACATACATGCATACATGCATGCATGCATACATACCTACATACATACATACATACATACACGATCTTTCACCACCTCCTTTGTCTTTCCTTCCTTCCCTGTCCCCGCTGAAACCATTGAAGCTCATTTTAGGAAGAAGTTGACTTGTGGGGTTATCCGGTCCTTTAATTTGTTCTTGCGATTCCTATCTGGGTGCTTCTCTGCTTCCTTACCTTCTCAGTTTTTACTTTTTCTTTTTTCCACAGAGTGTCCTGCTTCTCTGTGTTTCTCCGTTTCTGGTTTGGTTATTGTTTGTCTTCGCTTGTGCTTCTTGCTTCAAGCTGCTTGGTTGCTTTCGGCTTCCTTTCCACACTTCGTCTCGCTCTTTTTTTTTTCGCTCTCTCTCTCTCTCTCTCTCTCTCTTTCTCTCTGCCTGTCTCTCTGTGAATTACCTTGGAACCGAACCTTACCATACCCTACACAACCTTGAAGAACCCCCAGGCAAGCGCTGAAGACCCGTAATCGCACCCAAAACAAACCCTGTACTTACCCTAAACATTCCTTATTCACATCCTAAGCAATCTATATTGACATACTCTAAAGATAT